CAACCTCGCATCTGCTCCCATGGGTTTTACAGGCTGGAGGGTGGCAGAAGAGAGCACCCCCAGAGGGAGCTGTGGGGTCACACAAAGGAAGAGAAGGGCTCAGTATGGGATGGAAGACAATCATTCTGGCAGGCCAGCTCTTCCCATTACTTTGTAATCCTGCCCCTGACAGCCCACTTGCCCTGAAAGCAAATGTTCAGTGGACTTAGGGGCTGCGGGAGGGACCAGGAAACACCGTCCCTGCCCAGCCTCTCTCCTGAGATTCACATGCAGAGGGAAGAAGGTGACCAGAGAAGAATTTAGGGAAGAGCAAAGAAAACTGAGGGGAATGTTTACAATATGTCATGGTCAAGTTATTGGATTCTTTACTCAAATACTTTCCGGGGCAAAGTATCTACCATAGGAGAGTTGACCGCAGAAAGATCAGAGAACCACAAATCTAGATCTGGTTGTATTAACTCCATGAGATCTGAGTTTCCGATGAAACCAAGCCCACACAGGCACCAAGGGGAAGGTCTCTGTCCCCTCCCCAGACTCTCAAGATTAGAGGCACTGGAGTGTTTCGCTCTGAAGGTTCAAAAAAATTATGCAAATCTAGAGGATGCAGAAATGATTAGGGTGGGCACTATTACCATGGCCTCCCATCCATAGCTTGGAAGCCAAGAAGGAACTGACTTGCTCCGGACAGAAGGGATTCCAGAAAACAGTCACAGGTCGGACCGTAGAATTTCTAAAGCCAGCAACCTACAAACTGGAAGCTGATCCCCAGAGCCTGGGTTGCAGCAGTCAATTCGAGACAGATTTTTCTGAAGCTGTCACCTCCCGTTCCACTTTTCAGGTTAGAGGTGGGCCGTCCGCAAACCTGCAGACCCGCGCAGCAACCAAAGGAACTGCTCAGGGAAGGAGACCAGCAGCAGGACCTGATTCCATGCTCAGCGGTAACGGAGTCTAGAAATGAAGGAAACTCAAGCTGCACGGCGGAAATTGAGTTTCACTGCTGCGTTTGCAGGCCCAGGCTGTGCTCTTTGCTTTGGCACACTTTCCCTGGACAAAAGCCAGTGTTCTCACCACATAAACACTAAGTGATGATAATAACGTCAGCAGATGAGGCCATGATCTGTAAGGGTGCCAGATTCCACGCTGATGGGCTGGAATACGTCGGAGAGGATCACAAAAATAAGACAAAGGGCAGAGAAACTGCCAATGGACATAGAGAGCAAAGTCTTGAAAGAAGGAGGAGGGGATAACCTAACAGCTCATAAATGCAAACATTTTTAAATTGGACATTTTTGCCTCACGCAGCTCTGCTTCATGCCTTTCCCAGGAAAGCAACTGCCAGTCTCTTTTTGAAAGGCGCCAAGTCCCTGAGGGTTGACGGCTGAGGTTTTACCGCCATCTAGTGATCCTATAAGGTATGCCAGCTTTGGACGCTTTGGCCTACGGAGAGCCCAAGGCCCACGGTCTTGTTCTGGTCTGAGGAAGAAAGAGGTTGTTGAGCTTTACTTCATTATCACCCATTTCGTTCAAAAGAGATGTCGCTCTGGTTCCAAGCCATCAATCAACTGAAGTTGATTGGACCCAAGGACCAGGCTGGGCTAAATCTTCACGTTCTAACCTCCCTTCTCCTTGAAATCCTCTTGGTTCCCAATGTTTCTCAGATGCTGAAACCCCAGCCCCTGAAGTGTCCCCACTCTAACAAAAGAGCTCATTTATGTGCAGAAACGTGATACCTGAAGACAAGCTAAGAGTCCTGTGGGGTGACAAGTGCTGCTCAAAAGGGGAGCTTTCTTCTGACCCCTGAAGGAACAAGAGTTCGGTGAGGTAGTGGCCTGTTGTGCTCCAATCCTGGACACCAGTGTGCCTCACAGGAGACAAACAGTCTGCAGAGAAGGAGACGGGCGCTGGTCCTGGGTCTTCTCCAGACAGTGAAGAAGTTGGCCTGAAGCAGGAGGTCGGGACAACCTGGCAGGCTCTGCTCCCTGAGGACAGTCACAGTCCTGTGTGCTTTTTCCTTTCATCCATCCCTCTTTGCTTGATTGATGGGTGAAGACCAGAGGAAGAAAGACAAAAAAGATATACTGCTATGTGCTTAGTTACTTCTTGTGCATTGTTCCAGGCTTATAACACCCTCCCCGCGCCAGGTCATAGAGACTCCAGTCTGCCCTGTCACACATTTCCTGACTTACTCGTATGGTTTAGATCTACAATGTCCCCCAAAAGACTCATGTGTTCAGAGGTGAGGCTTTGGAAGGTGACTGGACTATGGGGGGCAGAATTGCTGAAGTGCGGTTCGAAGGTGGGACCTAGTTGGACCTGGTTGGTTTCCCTCCCTGGTTCCTGCCTTCTCTCCCTCTCTCTGCTTTCTGACCTCCATGGTGTGAGCAGTCAGACTCTTCACCATGCCCTTCCTGTCTTGGAGCCAGTCAACCATGGACTGACTCCTCTAACCCCATGAGCCAGGGCCAGGGATTTAGCTCAGTGGTGCTGCCTCACAAGCGCAAGGTCCTGAGTTCGATCCCTGGTACTCACACTGTCTGACTGCCAGTCAGAAGGCCCTCCTTATTTCACAAGGCTTCTGCCCAAGCCCTGGAATGCTGCACAGGACCAAGGAGAGTCTGAATAGGCAGCCACGCTGGGTTCCCTCCCACCCCAGCCTCTCAGCAATGTTATGCATCATGCCTGTGCAAGGAAGTCTCCATAAACCCCAGAAGGACCGGGTTGGGGGAGCTCCTGGACACCTGGACATGGGTCCCCAGAGGGTACAATCCAGAGAAGGACTTTGCACTCTTCCCTCACACATCGCCCTATACCTCTTTTTTTTTTTTTTTTTTTTTTTTTTTTGATTTTTTGAGTCAGGGTCTCACTCTGTAGTTGAGACTGACCTGGAGCTCACTATGCAGCCCAGGCTGGTCTCGAGCTCACAGCGATCCTCCTGCCTCAGCCTCCCAAGTGCCGGGATTACAGGCGTGTGCCACCACGCCCAGCAACACATCTCTTGATCTGTGTCCTTCATAGCATCCTTCACAGCAAGCCAGGAAATATGTCTCCCCAAGTTCCCTGAGCCACTCAAGCAGTTTAATTGAAATTCCTGAGTACAGCAGGTGGGGCAGACACACAAGCCAAACACCTGGGGCTTGGGATGGGTGTGTGGGAGGGGAGTTGGGGACTGAACCCCTCCTGTGGAATCCAACCCTGTCTCCAGAAAAGTAGTGTGTGAATGTAGTTGAATTAGACGCCCCCAGCTGATATCCACTGCAACTTTGCTTGCCTGCCAGTGGGAGAATCCTCGCGCCTTCTGACGTCACAGAACTCTCATGTTCACTGTTGTGACACCGTGAAGGAACTGTGTATTTCTCAGGTTCCTGCTCTGTGCAGATGACGGATGGGAAGCCACAGTGCTGTGTCCTAGTGACGACTCTCTCTGGGTCCTGGTTTCTTGCAGACTGGCACAGTCTAAAAGGATTTGTATTACTGGCAGTCCCCTTGTCAATAAATACTCATGGAAGGGCTGGGGTTTAGCTCCGTAGCACCATGCCTGCCTTGCAAGTGCAAGATCCTGAGTTTGATCCCCAATACTGGGAAAATAAATAAATAGATAAATATTCAAAGAAGCTAATGTTACTGCAAAGTCTATCCACTAAATCTTTCTGGAATATAAACATCCCCAATCTATAATTCATCGAGTCATTAATTCATCTCACCTCTGTCCCACACTGGTATGTTTTTACTTTTGTTGTTCTTGTTTTATTGTTGTTGGCTTTTTGTTTGCTTTTGCTTGCTTGGTTTTTGTTTTGGTTCAGTCTGGTTTTGGATTTTTGTGACAGAGTCTCACTGTGTAGCCCAGGTTGGCCTCGAACTCGGTCATCCAGGCTGATCTCAAACTCTCAGTTTTCCTGCCTCAGCCTCCAGAGTGCTAGGATTATAGCATATGCCACTACACCCACTGGTCTTTTTCTTCTTCTTACCCTTCCCCTTCCTCTGAGGAGGAGGAGGAGGCCGAGGAGGAGGAGGAGGTTGATGATGAAGAAAAACAGAATGTCAGGCTCTTTGTGGATAACTTCCTGATTTAGCTACAAATTTTTAAATGTCATTTGGTTTCTATGCATAGGGATTTTTTTTCCTTCACTAAAGAGATATCTTCTGCTTCATAGAGCTATTCCTTGGATTAAGTAAATATTTTTATTTGTTTGGTTTTTGCTACTGGAGATTGAACCCAGGATCCTCGCAGTGAACTACGGTACATCTCCAGCCCTTTTTAATTTTTTTTTTTTTTTTTTTTTTTTTTT